CGGTGTTCCGGCATTTAGGCTTCTGCCTGCGCGGCTGCTTCGTTATAAAAAAAAGCTCTAAAATTGTATGACAATATTCCACATTTATATATATTTATATTGAGATATTACTTTTTTCTTGACTTTTTAAAAAAAAAAACTTTTTCCGAAAATGCAAACTGAGTTTTCAAAAAGAAACTCACTCAAGACCTAGAAAAGGAGCAGTACAAACCATTTCTGAAAAAAGCAACTATTTTGCTCAGACGGTTTTCGAGCTACCGGTGCTATTTGGTGTAAGTTTTGAGAGAAACCCGCCTTCCGCTGGTCACGCCCACCGCGGTGGATGATTGGCCGTAATCCGAGGCAACTATGCGTATCTCTTCGCCGTGATACCACGTTTCAACATATTCATTCTGTTCGCTACTGTTGGAACTGTATCGGTCGTGTATGATTTGTTTTTAAAACGTTTGTTATACCTTTGTTGTTCAAGGAACAACCCTTCTACTTTATTTTTTAAATGGCCAAGTTAGCAAGACAAAATGCAAGGTAGTGAAATTGATGCACGGACAATATATTTCTATATAAAAGAATCAAAAATTTTAGGATAGAGGCAGGACCATTGCAAACTCAATATTGTTGAAATACATACTGCACAAGTTGTACTAAAATGAAGTTTTACATTTGCCTTTTCTGGATCCAAACTAATTGTCGCTAATCAAGCCATTGATTTCGAAATAAGACGTGGAGCCAGATAGAAATAGGGCGATATTTGTCAAGTTCTCACACGTCACTCGTTTCATGTTCAGGCCCTACTAATAGAAACTAACCGCTTATGTCTGTAACGTATACGGACATGACGCTCAACAGTAACGAACAAAAGATGCGGAAGCGAATACATGAATCTAATTTGACAGTTTATCAGCTGTTGTCATGTGGTGAAAGACGAGATGGAAGTCCAAAGTAAAATTATTCACCAGAAAGAAAGACATACAAGGACGTCAGGTATTATTGAGATAAGCACCAAATCTTGATTAACTCTTTTTTGCTTTAATTACCTTCCTTTATGAGTAGTCGAGAAATTTCAATGTTAGTTTGGCGTTTCTGAACCTGATATGTTAACTTATGAATGAGTCGAAGTCTGGTGTGAACTTCGTGTTCGGCTAAGCCAACATGATTTCATTTGTGCGCTCCCGTACACGCATTCCTCTTGGTATTCTGTCATCGAAGATATCCGGCAAAATACAATCGATGTAAAACCTGTTCAACGTCCCAAAAACTTCGGAGAGTATAAAATAATAATTATGATTTCTTTTCAACGAAACCTGATTATTTTCGGCAGAGTAGCATTACAGAAGGCAAACATTTTATTTCTATAAGGTCTTCTGTGCCCACGAGACCATCTAGAGAAGCTACAAAAAAGGATATTTTTGACATACAAAAAGTCCGCACTGCTCAACGGATAATCCCATCTGTTCTTCATACCTCCTTCTTGCAGTAGCCTCATGTACCCTGCCATATAGGATAGAGATACTCTAGCCTCATGCTCCTCCACAAAGCGTTGGTGTGTTGGCCTCTCGTAGAGGACGTATTTCACCCATATGAACTTAATGAGTCCTGGTGAGAATACAAAACTGAGTTTTAAACCTTAGATCTAGTGTCCTAATGGCCCATGTGTTGAATGTGCAATTTTTTGTACAGAAATTGTATTACTCGATTCGTTATATCATGCTCAGCAGCTACGAGTCTTCAATACCTTCCGGAATGCTGGACTGTTAGCACAGTTTTAAAACGTAAGCTGTATATTGATAGTAAAATATTTTCGACTAGAAAATGTGGTTGAAGAACCGATCGATCAAGCGGAGACCATTTTTTTTTTCTTGCTCTTCAATATATAATTAGTTATCACATAAGGTAGTAAACCAATCCTGTGCGCTGACTTTGTTTTCTAGTAAACATAGTCAGGGTCCCAGGACTTGATTACTACTTTATGTAAAAAAAAACTGGCTACTCTCGAAGACGCATTATACCCCATGACCATAGAGCCTCTTACTTCATCCACCATCAGCGATAACAGTGATACATGGAGCGCCATCTGGCATAAAATGACGTTTCTCAATTGCAACTGACTTCTCTTCTTTGCCAGTAGCTTTCATATCGTCCGCAAGACATTCTTCCCATACCTTGATGGAAATGCAAATAATATTTGAATAATATTTTATGGGTTATACAAAGAGGGTAGGTGTTGTCAAGGGTTTATGTCGTACTTCCATTGCTTATACGATTTGAGCTGAACGACGTTTCGTTTGGAATAATATCTATAGTCAGGTGAAAATTATTTGTTCTTTAGCTGTAGCTTTCATTTGAGTTATCGGGTAAACGTTTTAATTAGCATTTTTATAGTTAGGTTTAGGGATCGATAACCATGATTAGCCTTCACAACGACAAAAAAAACAATCTAATGTTTTTATGGTCAAATTGCCAGCTTGGAGAATTTGTACCTTTGTAGCTACTATGATGAATTTACCGAGAACATTAGCCAATTCGGAGACACTTTTTGTTATTACGAATGTCTCCCACGTAGGTTTTGGAATCACGAAGGAAGCCTGGCAAACGTTCTTGGCTTTTATTATTTTCAAATTTAATTCCTAAATGATATGTTGTTCATGTTACGCCAAAATTTAAAAAAAAACAGCCGACTATACTCTCAAGGGAATTTTAACGCTACTATGCCACTATGTTATGTTAGTCTACCTCGCAGATGCGGTCAGAGGTATTGAATTATCCAATTTTTAGTTGCATAATTTCTTGGGCTGGGACATTCGCTGGTCAGGACAAAAGACTCATAGTTTTTGGTCACCCGAGAAGAAGATCTCGTCTGCTATACATCTAGAACTTCTGGGCTGACGAAAATTATACCCCATTGACAATGCGACAAATATACCCTACATCAATAGAATGGAGAGCTTCTAGTTTCCACGTCTGGACTAGGTTGCGGGAGAGCTATGGCAGTTGTGTAAAGAGAGAAATCTTACTGACCTCGCGTCAAATATAAAATCTAGTTGTAATACTGATACTTTTGCGTCAGTGGGACGTGGAAACGGAGTGGGAGCTACACCTGTCACCGTCCTGATTTTGGTTCATGTTATCGGTGTCCCTTACAGTGTGATAAGAGATTAAGATATTATTGTCTGAGCTATCAGTCTTTTACCCAAAATGATACTAACGATGCAGTCATAAGATGGTTTTTGAAGGGCATTTACATGCTGAGGCCACCTCAACCGAAATATTGAAACTGTGGTTGTTCTCAACCAACCAAAGGAGTTGCTGGTGACCTCTGTAAATATTCGGATGAGGAAATCAGCACCACTGCTAGCCCTGACCTCAGGTCAGAGTGTGCAAACTAATTGAAACAGACAGCATCCGCATCGGGTTGAATAATATTGAAATTGTGATTTCTCAGTTTTTGAAAGCCTCGGGACCACTCATGTGGCGACTACTTTTAGTTTTACCGTATTTTACGCCCCAATATCTGTGCATATTTACCAATGTTTGTAACAATAAATTAACTTTATCATAGTGTCTTTGTTCTCGGATGGATAGAGTCTGTTTCAGCAGAGAGTGGTCGAGGTGTGTCACAATTGACAGTCCACAGCCCATGAAACGCGTCTACCTCTGCGCCAGCTAAATCATAGCAGGCTCAGACTCGCGGTGGGCTGGGGCGCGTTTTCTGAGACACCTCACAAATCTGTTATGCCAAACAATAGCTTTGCTCAAGCGGCATTTGAGGTGAATTAAGTCTCCACACCTTAAACATACCTATGTTATTACGTTATTTGTTTGTTACCATGTAACGAATGGTCATTTTTGAACCTATGTACGTCGTATTACCAGTTGTTAAAAGCCCTAACTTGAGTTATTACAATGGAAATGTACATTTAGTTGACACATACATTGCGTACAATGTGTGTAGTTGTGTACAACCTATCGTTTAGTATTGCAGAGCGTTAGTAGTATGTTGTTGCAACTCGCTTTGAACGCTACGAGTAGTATTTACGAGACGAGACCGGAACCTATTTGCATGATCAAACGAACTTACTTGTAAGCGATATTCGATCCTAATTATGTGAAGGCCTCGTCGAAGTAAATAGCTCCCTCGTTCCTTATATATCACCCAATTGTTGCAACAACTTGGCTTTGAAAAAATGAGAGTTTATAGGCGGTCAGAAAGAAGGAAGGTAGGAGGCGCGGTGAGCCGCTTTCCTTCGCTGCGTGCGCGCTTTGAGCTCGTGGGTTTTGTGAGATACGAGGCTACTACGGGTAGTATTTACTTCGACGAGACCTGCACATAATTAGGATCGAACATCACTTACAGGTAAGTTCGTTTGATCATGTAATTATTCAGTAAACACCACACGGATCCGCTTCGCATTAGATTAGATTAGGAGAAAGAAATGCAATATTCAAAGTAATGCAACAGTTACTTTGGTAATGAACTTTTTTCATCGGCATTTTAATGTCACAATTAATTTAAATGTTTCTTTTTTTTACATCCTGGAAAAAAGTGACTTGAACATTGATCTGATTTTAAAACGACCATGAAGGTAATTGACCAGGTTCATTGGCTAGGATACCCTTGAAGTTAAAATTGTCTGCAATTTGCATTTCTGAAATTGAAAATATATGTGACCTGTTAAAAATTAATTTGATACTCAAATTACCTTGACAGTTGTAGTCAAGGTTACAGACATACTTGGGCATAAAGTTTCTTGCTCTTTTTATTTTCTCGGACCATCGGCTTAGACATGATCGAGACTATTGCCATTTCAATTTCAAATCGTGGCATCAAATTCAAATTGCTCTAGCAAAAGTGTAGTATAGCACTGGATAAGGTGACAGATGAAACAGAGAAACAAAGGATATTCCACAGGTTACATATGATATAACAAGTTTTTGCCAAACGAGTCACGCAATAATTTTCATCTGTTGTGCAGCAATGAAGATTCAATTTTAATTGTACTCACCAGTATAGGGAAAAAGGTATTTGTCGTTTCCGCCACTCACAAGATCGTGATGTTTGTCATCGAGTTGCTCATCGCTATAGCGGTACTTCCCTGCTGCGTAGAGCTGCGCTATAGCGACGTTGACTTCCGTACCATACTGTGCCGTCCCAGTCTGCACCATGTACTGCCCTTGAGCTCCCAAGACCCCTGATTGCATCCTCTGCTGTTGTTGGTCTGGGTGGGGCAACGGATTAGGAGAAGCATCCTTCGAAATCACTTGATCTGTACAAATTTCATTGTCTGACCCGGTCTCCACTGACCAACGGCCCATTTCTGCAACGAACAAAACGATACACAAGCGTATATTGAGCATAGGAATTAACTGAACTACTACAGGCAGGTCACGGCTAAAAAACCCGTAGGTGGACGTTTTCTGAAGAAGTTACACATCTTTGGTTTGTTCGTACAGTAGTCGGTAACTTGTCGGTGATTGTCAAAATCAGAATCAGAGAGATGTTACCTGTTCGTACAGTTTCTTACTGTTTGCCGACAGCTAATCCGCTGTTCGTACAGAACCTTCTGACAGATCAGAGGACACCAGTCAACCAGTGACAGTGACATGTATCACAGTGTGTCGAAACTGTCTTGAGGATTAAAACTGCTTCGCAAAAGGCATTTAATGATCGATTACTCTTTTCTAATGGACGATCTGGTCACACCTTCGCACCGACGGGACGTTGGCAATCTAGCTACTCCAACGGGCTTTGCTCCTCAGAGCTCTCTTCCATGGTGTCACCCCGCGATGTGCCTACCTGACTTCGGCCTCCCATCGTAAGCGGGTCGAACTTCGTACATCCAGAACTGGCCGATAAGACCGCTCCTTTGTCCCGAAGGTGTCGAGATCGTGTAATAATCTACATGAGGGGATTTTCCTGATCCTACTAACTTTAGGCAGTTCAAAAATGGGAATAACAAAGTTTCTTTAAGCTCCTGAAAGCAGCCGCGAAGCCTTGCCATGTAGGGTTCACCTGCGCGGCTACTTCGGTGTAAAAAAAATGAAACCCAAAAACCTTAATTTTGTAGAGAAAACAGGGCCACAATTCAACAGAAACAAGTTTTTGTAACATTTTCAGGTAAGCAAGTGGCAGAAGAAACTTTAATGAAATTCCATTTTAAATATCAGCCAGCGCCAAAGTGCTTTGTGCTCAATATTTTGTTTATTGTCCCGGTAATGGCAAAATGAAGATTATGAATACAGTATGAACAATCCGAACAATAGAGGACATAACTTTCAAGAACCATAATTAATACGATTTTTGTGATCACTAATCTTTTGAAAATTTTTGTTACAGTTGCAAAATGCGTAATTACGCTATTTAAGTCTTACTTCTATGTATTTTCGAAGTCTCACTTCTTTTTCTCCATGTTGAGAACTCTGTGAAACTTATAGCTATGTAAACAGATCTTGAGAATTGTAGTTATGTTCAGCCGTTTTAGCTTTTTAGTGTATAAACACCGTGTATCATTCAAAGACGTTATTAAATCCTCGTAGTATTTTCATTTCTTTCTTCTAGTAAGAGTCTGCATATACAGGGTGTTTCTAATTTGGCCCTCGTCATTGTGATCTTGGAAACTGTAAGGGATACGATACTTAGAAGGTTTCGAAATTCAAAGTACTTCCCTAGAGTAACGGAAAAACTGAATTTTCCCAAAATTGTTCTGATTTTTTCCTGACTTTATTTATATTGGGATTTTAAAATAAATTGCACATTAACAGTGCCACGTTTTCTCCTCTACAAGAAGGAATAATCAGAATTTCTATATGACGGTTCGTCTCTTGTCCTCCAGCATCAACTTTATTATTTCTTAAGGACGCTATAATGCATTTTTGCACAGACGAATAGAGTTTTGAATTTTGATTCAAAAAATGCATAATACGTCATACATTGAAGTTGTCAAACCTTGATTACTTTAAGAAAAACAGAATATCTTAGGTAGGCCTTGAAATTGTTTCGATCACCAGATTTATCCCAAAACCGCTCTATTTTTTCCCAACTCTATTCGAGATGGGATTTCAAAATAAATTGCATATTGTCATTGTTACTAATTCTCGTCGCAAGAAGGCGTAGTCAAATTTTCAATTCGACATTTCTTCTTTCGACTTCCATCATCAAATTTGTTTTTTCATACGGACACTAACATATGTATATTGGTATTTTGTACATTTAAATGGACTTTTTAAGCCCTAAATTCGGTGATTGTTAGTTGACCATAAATTTGTTGTTGGATGAAAATTAAAAGGAAATAAAAAGATTTGGTGAAACCTGAATACGAAATCAAAATTTTATTGATGGTAATAATAATAATAACCATAAATAAGCGGAGATATTCACAGTCTTCCAAACTCTGTTGCTATGCAAACAAATGAAATCTAATAATTTCAAGGCCTACTTAGGAACTTCTGGAATAACTAAGGTTTTGCAATGTCAATGTATGACATACATTTTTTAAATCAGAATAAAAATTCGATGCAGAGTACATGTGCAAGTTATTTTGAAATCCCACTACAAATCAAGTCAGGAGAAAATTATAACCATTTTGGGAAATTTCGTCTTTTACGTCTTTTTCCGGAAGTACTTTCAATTTCAAATCTTTCTTAGCGACATTTTGCTGATTTGCTTTATCTGAATACGCAACTTTTCCCCTATTTAAGTAACTTCGTATCCCTTGAAGTTTCCGAGATCCCAATGGTGAGGGTCAAATTTAAAATACCCTGTATAGGGAAAATATTATTTTCACCCCAGCACTCCCTCTCAGTGAGAAAAAGCTGTATCATAAAATCTCCAGAATTCGTTATTTTGTTTATTTTTTTCATCAGCTTTGGGTTGGACTTACATATGTAGAATATATAAATACTGTTTATGCATACACTTCGCGGTTGGGCGACAAAGGAACAGGGAACAAAAACCCTACTAACCGAGATTTATTAAAAGTCATTCACAATACTTTGTACATTTCTCATGCATAATCACTGCAGACGTTTATTCAGAATTCTTACTATGTATTTACTTCTTCAACTTGTCATTCGATGTGTGGAATCATAGTTCTTCGAATTTATGTTTATACCTTATATATGAGAATTGAATGGTAATTACTGAGTAAATCTACTTGACATTTTTGGGTGCTGTTATTTTTTCTAGAAGTTGTCCTTGTTTTCCTCTCTAAATGAAAATCGGGCACATTTGGACAGTTGGACGAAAAATCCTAGATCATTCTGGTTTACAGCAAATGAACCCCCAACTTTTTCAAAATTGTCTACTTCATTCTAAAAATAATTACATTCGAATAATTATTGTACTTGATTTCGAGCTCTGGCAATTTACTGGAAAATTATCTGCTGACTGATTTGACAGTCACCAAACAGTCAGATGTTTATGTACGACCTCCCTCAGCCAACTCGTAACGTTCTTATGTACGCAATTAATACAGTCAGCGACGTGTCAGTGACAGCTAACTGCTCAAACTAGGTCATGACTTGTCGCCGACTATCAGTTTGCTGATTGTCAGCAAAAAGGCGATACGAACAAACCACTTGTGTAACAAGAATATCGGTATATTTGATGAAAATTTTTTAAAAAATAATTATGTTATAAAATCATGATTTTTGCTGGTACTTTAAATAAAGCTTTGTTACATTTGGAAAAGTAATATATTGAAAACAAAATCGAACAGGTATTTATTACTCGTCTAATGTAGACAGTCAGATATCTAACCGTAATTCTATGAGTCTATATAAAATCATGTGTCATTTAAGCAAAAATTTGTTTGCCATAAAGAGTTTTTTGTTAAGGCTGAACCTAAAATAACTTTGTTATTGCAAATGGAATGTGCGATACTGTTACGGTTGTAGGCTTAACAGCGTTTGATAACAATGAACACTGTATCCCATGCATTTTTCTTTGTTGCCTCCGGCGGTTAGAATTGTGACAGAGGACCTACACGAACTCTACTAACCTGTCCACAATTTCATTGGAACTCTCACGTACTGAGGGTGCAGCTCCGCTCAAAAGTTGTTTGCGAGCTCGTGATATTTGTGAAAAGGGCATAAATGGAATGGTAGCGATATGCAACTTCTACGGAAACGTTTTCCTTGATCACTCACGGGAAATGACCACTCCTTATTTGTTTTGAGGAGTGAGAACTTGGGAACTAAATTTCATCGACAATTGTTAGTTGTAAACTCCCGATATGTGCCAAGATATGTTTTGCTTTTCTGTTTCGTCCACACGTCTCATTGAAATGGCGTCCAAATCATTTCAATTCAACAGCGTAACTTCAATTTTTGAAGCCAGGGACCACTTGGACACGTGACCTCTTGATAACAGTTCTACTAAAAAAAAACGCAAGATGTGATTGTGTGATTTCCCAGTTATTTGCATGTCTGTAGAATTTGAAAAGCGTTATTTGTGACCCTATTTCTCTACTGCTTTTTCCAATAATGTTGCCACACACCCAAACGCGTATATTATTTAATAGTACCGATCATGCGATATAAAATTGGATTTTCCTTCAAATGATGCAGCACCTCATTTAAAAAATCACAACTTTGATATGTACGTCAAAATTGGGACACCCTGTATAATTGCTTATATTTTAGAAATGCACCCTCAAATGCCATGTATAACATGCCATAAATAGATTTTCCCAAAATGTTTTGTTTATGAGTAATATTCCGCCCACACATGGATGGGCCACCCTGAATATGGTATACCGTGTGTGGGATACAATATCTCGTATTAGTACAAGTTACAAGTAAATTGACTTGTAATTATTACACCATACTTTTTATGGAATAGGGCCTCAGTAACAAGCAGTTAAAGTATTAAAGTGCAATATTGTCAAAAAATGACAATTCGTAGAGATTTTGACTTGTAAAGGCGCTTTAAAGAAATCGGGCATTTTAATCAGTTGATTCAGCGAGATATTAACGAAATTCTTATAAAAATGAGACTGACTATCTGGTAAGAGCTTTTCGAAGAAAGACACGTGACAGTACTCCAGAAATACTTATACTCCCTTATCGACCAATCATTGTATATGGTACCTTTGAAGAACATGCCCTGAAAAGTGACCTATCGAGATATCAGAATCCTCCATAAAAAATGCTTCCATAGTTCAAATAATGTAGGATCAAGCTTCATTCAAAAGTGGAACGATTAAGTAGAATGAAAAAATTAAAAACAAGTTTTCAGAGAGAACATCTCATGTTTCGATGTGTGGCAGGAATTAAGATATTAAAAATGAATCAACTGTATTTTAATGAAACATTGTGAGAAATTGTACTACGCTAATCGAATCAGATAAATGTATCTGTATTGCCTCTCCTGAATTTGTGCAGTTATTCATATTCTCCTTGATTGGTAGGTTCACTCTATATGATAACATTCACTGCATTTGAATTTTATATTAAAATTGCTACTACATAAAGGCTGGAAATTTGCAAATCTTATTTGCCCTTAATACCTGTTTGTACTATTACTTAACTTCTTTCTGTACGCAATAGTATCAAACAACTACTGATACTTTTTTATACCAAACAAGACCCACTCGTAAAAAGTGGATTTGATATAACAAGATAAATCTTACTACTTCTATTCTTATGAAACATAAATATCTGACTTGTGAATAAAGTTTTGTAACTGGAGACTGTGCAGAACGTGCAATACCCTTCGAAGGACCTTCAGATTGCGGTCTTTATTCCCCTCAAAATAATAAACCTTTAGGTAATTGATATACAATTATAATATATCACAGAGATGCTATACATATTTGCATTTTCAAATGGATATATTGGGAACTGAAACTTTGCCTGGCTACCATAACATCATATCGGATTTTTCAATTTTTTTGTGCACATAAACGTTCTAAAGTCTCTTGCAAATCGGTATCTCTCGAAATTTAGAAGGAAATCACCTTATATCAAAAGTCGACAAAAGGAGTTCCTATCTATTATGCACAGGCCTCAAAGTATTTTCGGACATGCATTAATACGCGTGGTCAGATGGTATAAAAAAGAACTTACCACTGAAGAGGTCAAAATCCCATAAAAATGGACGTAGAGTAGCACCAAATAGTAACCAAAACAAATAAAGGTAAGGTAGGTACGAAAAAGGGTACTACTCCACAAACTGGTGATTTGGGTCCAATATTCTAAAATTTAGAAACCAAATGAAGGTCCGATACATCTCAATAAAAGCCTCAGCAGGACGATGACCGACACGAACCTGCCTTCCATCAGTCAGTCAATTGACTGTCAATTAATGTCAAAAGTAGGAGGAAATTTCTGGGATAGTCATTAATAAAATAACATTAGTGTTTGAAAGATTACAACACAATACTGAGTCGCTAAGAAAGAAATATATAATATGTGTGAAATTATACTTTCAAGATTAGGTAGCTTCGAGCTCCATATTATTTCAATTATGAAATTCATACCTACTAATATTGCTCGTGCAACTAAGGACTTTCTCCAAGTACCAGTCGTTAATGTTGTAGTCATAAATGAAATACTTCAAACCTAAAGGATCACTTGTATTAAAATCCATGGCACAGTCCGAAAATGTGATAAAGTATACGTATATGTATGACATTCCATGTAAAATAACGAAAGAGATACATTTACGCCATATCTGAAATAAAACTAAAAATGCCTTAATTTCACCTTATCATGAAGGAGTCATGGTTCCCTTTATCGTTTTATATAGTAATCATAATTCAGTGTGTCTAGATGATATAATTCATACCGTTAGCACTAGAAAGGTACGATTCAGGCAGTTGGCTGGACCATCTGGATCCACAACATGAAACAGGCTGAACAGTGGGAAACAGTTTTGAGTTGGTAACCACGTTCAGGCAAGGAGGTGTACCACATCGAGATGCCACGTGTTCTGTAATGTTCGGAAGATAACCAGCAGAACCTGTTGGCGGAACTGATGATCCGTTTCTATTGCCATGTTGTCGTCCCTCAGAATCTGCAAAATTTCATTGATTATTATTATTACAATACATGATAAAAGATCCTCGCTCAGATTTTTATACACTGAGAATCAAATTTGTTTGATGGTTTGAGTTCAATGTGTATGGGAAAGAAGTGTGTATAGACACATATGATAGAAAGCCGGCTGTATAACGAAGCTCATCGCCGCGAACCTTAACTACGCTAATGCGGGTCGCACTCGATGCTTCCAACGTTGTACACAACGTTGTGTACAACATACATTGTTTACAACGTTCGACACCCCACAATTGGCAAGTGTCTCTCCTACACGATGGGATGAACTTTTTAGTCTCGGATGTTCGCCGCACGGTGGCGCCAACGTCTACTAGCGGTGTCAGTGTCGCGCTTGAACCTTTAGAACCGAAGGAAAAATTATACAAAATGAACGATGAAACAATTTTTTCGAGCGCCGAAAAATAATTTCAGATCTGAAAAACGAAGTTTGACCGTTTTTTGTTTGTTTTTCGACGATAACTCCGCTGCCACTGTACCGATTTTCAAAAACTGCAGAGCTTTTTCGTCATTTTCATAGTAGTAACGTAGGGTCAAAATTTCATCAAAATCCTGATAGTACTGTCAAAGTTATCACCTATTAGTCGTTTTCGTTAGTTATGAAATGCAAGTCAATATATTTCTCAACTAGTTTTGCATTGCAACAGGACATTATAATGAAACAACTGTAAACACTTGATAATTTATAATTTTGTTAAAATACATATCCTTATGCCAGCCATAACTCACCTGCGAAACGTACAAAATATTATCAATATGAAAAAAGTGTTGTTATGGCCGGTTATGCTTTGTATATATACTAATTTAATTCATTCTCCTCAAAAGTTAGTTACGGAACATACATTATTATGAATAGGTAGGTATTCAAATCAAAATACTACCCACATAGCACTACTTCACCACAATCACAGCAAACAAGTAAATAATGTTTGTCGCCGCTATTGGTTCTAACCTAAAACCATCAATCACATGACATCTCGTGTGAGAGTGTAACGAACCATGCTTCCATCGTCCTTTAACGCGGGTCAAATTTATCGACAAGAGCCCAAACGTGCCATGTGGCGAACGTTGGACACATGTAATCCGTCTCTCTCTCTCCCAAACGATGTGGCGAATGGCCATGTGTCGAACGTTGTAAGGTATTCGCCACATCGTGTGGGACCGGTTTAACGTGGCAATCTGTCGCGTTGCCAATATGTTACACCAATTCCTTGAATTAAGATGCATGTTGAAAATATGCGTTAGTTTATTCTTTACGCCCAACTAATAGTTTTATTTTGAGCGTATACATTTTTGAATTGTGTCGAATATGTTTAGGTCTAAATAAAAGGTCAGGATCGCCATATTCTGCAACATTGCATCATTGGTTCGCTTGGCAACACCGCATCTCGTACATTCCAGTGCTGCAAGGTTTCCACCTCCATGTTCATAGATGAACAATTTTGGTCAGTACCCATTTAGCACTCATTAGGGAGTGTCGCCCTTCTTCGAAATGGGTTTCATCTGCGTACACGCAAACAGTGATAATTTGCATTGTGTGATGGTATTTGTTACATTTTCCGACCGCTCGCTGTCGCAAAATGTAACAATGACTCAGGATGAGTTGATTTAATCACCTTTGGTGGAAATCAAAGATAATTCTAAAATAAAACACAAGTCGCACCAAAATTGAAATAAATAATTCTAATCAAGTTGAAAACAAAACATCAAATTAAATATTCGAACAGCCTCCTTCTTAGGTTTGACAGTAACCTAACCTATTCTAGAAGCATGTACGAACATTTAGTGATGTTGGACGTAATCTCGACCATGACATCCACAATCAAGGTGATCCGCAATGAATGCGAAATAAATCCTAAATTAAATTCGTGACAATAATGTTATTGAACCAAATATGCCTTAGTAAAATATCGATCATTAATGAGATGGAGGGTGTTGAAGTCTAATTTTCGAAACCATTTTTTCTCTATAACATGACATCAACATAACAATTGGGAATCGGGTAAGAGAAGAAAACACAACTCCCTTGTCTTCTTATATAAACTTTAAAATGGTATTGCTGATTCTTCAGACCTGTTATGCCAGCTTCAATGTTTAGTTCCAAGGACATGTTCTAGAAACAATACTTTCTTTTTTGCATCCGGGCAAATACCAACTTAGCTTTAAAATTTCTTGTAAGAGTCATATGCATGAACTTCAACGGAATATGCAGTACTTGTGACATCTTTATGTCTTCTCTTCCTCAACTTAAGAAGGTTTTATGGCAGCGCCTTAAATAGCGTTATACATGTTATTTTAATGTTTGTTTATCATTTAAAATTTGAGAAAATTCTGCTGTAAATGCTATTAAACGCAATTCTTGGTTCTGAGGTTTTCGTGCTTTGACGTCTAACGGTGCTCTACTAGTATCTGAGTAACTATATACGCGCTACCGTCACTCACCATGTCTACTCTTCCTAGATCCACCCGGTTGCCTGGAACGCCTGCTTCCGTGATGCTGCGCCCCGTTACTAGTGTCATCCTCATCGCTACTATGGCTGCTGGCCAAGTCCAAGCTGCGTGCCTCCGAACCGTCGCTATCCTCCGAGTCGCAACTGTGATTGGCTCCTGGATTGGCATGACCGTCTTTCGATCGATGATGATGCAACGTAGGCGGGAGAGCGCCGGTTCGTAAGTACGTTGGGACGTCGCTTGCAGAATTGTAGTTCGACGTTGAGGTGGAGGTGTGACGTAGATGTGCATCGCTCCTGATAATGGTAAGTAAGTTGATATGGGCCAATCAAAACTAAAATACCACGACCTGGCTGGCAGGTCATATAGATCAGGTTCATTTTTTCCTAGTATAATTCCTATGAAGGCGAGTCTTTGTGATGTAGCCGTCTAAGATTATCGATTTCTAAATTCGTTGAAATAATTCTTACCCTTGTAAAAATTCGTTGTATCCATAAAATTGAAATAAACATAAAAAATAAGGTTACAAGCTACGCCGGGCGCTGAACGGTTAAGCTTCAGAGGCGTATCATGTGGTACCTAAGGCCCGTATCGTCAGTCGTCCCTACAATTGTAGGGCGCGTTTATGACCTCCTTGATTGTCATAGTTTTCTACTTTCCGGGTCAGCGCTCTATTTTGAGGTTATGTCACAAACATCTATTTGCATCAAATTGTGCTTGCTTTTGAGTTTTATCATGTTTTATCAGCCTGAAATTTCCTACAATTTAAAAGGAAAACATATCTTAACAATAGGAGAGCGCTGACGCTGACACGGGACGAGTGTAATCTAGAATTTTTTTAAGGAGAGAAAAGAGTATGACAATCAAGGAGGCCATAAACGCGCCCTACAATTGTAGGGACGACTGACGATACAGGCCCAAGACTTCCGAAGGATAGCAAATTACTAATATACAGTGTGTCCAAATTCGCTTCTCTATACAGGGATTTCGGCTCCTGTTATACCAAAGCAAAGGTTAAATGGGGAAAGTTTTAGAGGAAACTTAGTGCATTCGATAGCCGGCTTCAGATTTACGATCGGTCAATTGGTTTTGGAAATATTGTCGAAAAACAGAAAATGTCGAATTTTGTTTTTTGCCAGTAAATCAGAAACGGTTAATTTGAAAGCTGTCAAAATGTGACATTCGGACAGCCTAATGATGTAAAACACGTGCAGTTTTCTAAGGCGGCCATGATTTATTTGTCAGAAAATAAAATTAATACGGGGCCGTATCGTCAGTGGTTCCTACAATTATTGTAGGACGCCTTTATGGCCTCCTTGATTTTAATAGTTTTCTACTTTTCCGTGTCAGCGCTCTATTTTGAGGTTATGTCACAAATATCTAATTGCATCAAATGGGTCATGCTTTTGATTTATATCATGTTTTATCAGCCTGAAATTTCCTACAATTCAAAAAGAAAACATAACTTCACAATAGGAGAGCGCTGACGCTGACACGGAACAGGTGCAATTTAGAAATTGTTGGAGGAGATAAAAGACTATGACAATCAAGGAGGCTGTAACAGCATTCTACAATTGTACATAGTAGTAGGTACGTTTTATCTCATTAAAATCATAAATCCGACAAAAAAATTGTCAAATATGTTGAAAATATCCGGAATTCCCTACTCAAATGAAGAAAAGTTTGACATGTTAGCGCTGTACTTGCAGTCACACAAAAACCCCGACATTACCTCAGCAAGGTACTTTGAGATGTACCCTGAACGACGGCAGCCTCATAAAATCCAATTTAAAAAAATAGTAGTTAATTTAATAAACAATGGGGCCTTCGGATAACCTCGAAGCGGATACAATATTGAAAATGAAAATCGCGACAGAAACATTTTACAAGCTGTCAACGAAATCCCTAGTGCATCAGTAAGAACTATAGAACGAGAAATTGGTGTGTCAAAATCAACAGTACAGAAAGTGTTAAATAAGAATACGTACCATCCATACAAAATTATAATAGTTCAAGGACTTACGGAAACAGATTTTCCAAGGCGAATGCGCTTCTGTGAGTGGTATACTAATGAATGAAAATCCCGAATAATGTATTGTGGTCCGATGAGAGTAGGTTTAGGAATTGTGGAGTTTTTGATAAGCACAACATTCATCATTGGGCTGTGGAATGTAATAGATTCATCTATTTAGGGCTTTTGCGCTTTTAGTAACACAACTTGATTTCAGGATGATTAACTTTACTGTCTAAAGTGATCGGTACTGCAAGGTGTCTCGGTCATTCATCTGCCTAGCGCAGCATTTCCCGTGAATTATACCATATTACTTGCAATATCTAACAAGTTTCTAATAACAATATACTATACAGTATGATCTTATCATAATACACCTCCCCCGATTTTTTTTATACTGAAACAGCTGCGCAGGCAGAAGTCTAAATGTCGGGACACCGTGGCTGCTATGAGGATCCGGAAGAAACTTTGTGAATCCGATTTTTGAACTGCCTGAGATTAGTAGAACTAAGAAAAGCTTTCTCTTTTAGATTATTCCTCAATCTCGACACCGGGATAAAGGAGCGGTCGTATCGACCAGTTCTGGATGTACGAAGTTTGACACGGTTAGGATGGGAGGCCAAAGTCAGGCGGATCTGTCTAGCAGGCGCATCGCGTGGCGGCATCATGGAACAGAGCAATCCAATCGTCCCGCCATGCTTTTCTTGGCGGAGAAAAAAATCTCAGAGTCTGCACCGATTAACCATCTTAGCTTTCCAAATTACCAGGTACACTCCAATCTGAGAAAGGGCAGGGGAGTTGTGGCTTTTGTCTGCAGCAGTCTTTCCTGCTCCAGAGATGGTTCTTTGGAATCAGACCGGAAAGACATTCTGTGGCTTCGCTGAACTCCAAAACATCACCCAAATTTATTTGCTGCCTTTATCGCTCTCCCTCGGACCATAACTGGGATGTCCTACTTGAAGATCCCGCCGTCAATATCGACTTTCTGAACATCAATCACCCCGATTCAGAGGCTTGTTCTCCTCGGTGATTTCAATCCCCATAATCAGCTTTGGTTGGGCTCAAACAAGACCGATGCAGCAGGTCGTGCAGTTGAAGCGTTCGCTCTTACTCAAGGGCTGACCCAGCTAGTGACGAGCCCTACTTAGTAGCCTGTTGGATCTCTTTCTGTCCCTTATAGCACTACAGTCCTGTCCTCCCTGGGTAAGTCAGACCACGGTGGTGTGGAGGTTAGGTTTCGGTCAGAACCCGCTGTGGCAGCAGAAACTCGCACAGGTCGCAAAGTTTGGCATTAAGGACATACCGACTGGGAGAGGCTCAGAGACTTCTTCCCTTCCTTTCCTTGGAGAGATGTCTGTTTCACTGACGCGGTTGCATCGGCTGTCTGTTCTTTGATAACCGTAATTATCCACGTCGGAATGAAGGAATACATCCCTCATACAGTGAAAGTGACTAAATCAGGGTCCAACGGCTGGTTTAATAAATCGTATGACACTGCTCGCCAGCATAAGATCAAGTCAAACAGAACCTTCTGACAAAACCCCACTGTAGAGAACAGACAAGCCGGCGTCGAGTCCAGAAACAAATATAACGGAGCGGTTCGCAATGCCAAAAACCAGCACGATATAAAAGTTAGGCACAGGGTAATGTCCCAGCGCAATGGCAGTCGGTCTTTCTGGACGCTGGCCAAGCAGATTGAAAATAACTTCTCACATAGTAGCCTTCCACCATTTACCATACGTGTCAGGATGGAACGATTGTATTCGTCTCAAAAGCTCAAGGCGGAAGTGCTTGCCAAGATCTTTGCTGCCAACTCCTCCATGGACCCCCCCCCCAACGCCCAAGTGCCGTCAATTCAAAGGATTCCCTGCATTTTGCGGGAGGTAATATTTAGGCATAAGACCGTAAGACGATTGCTCTCCGCATGACCTTCTCACTCTATACAAGGCCCATATAAGGCCTATTGCTCACACGTTTGGGGTGGTGCCGCCCCGACTACATTATTTATGCTCGATGCTGACCAGTGGAGGGCTATCCGATTGATCGATGACTCTTCTCTAACAGACAGTCTCGGGACCCTTTCGCACCAGTCTGAAGTAAATGGAAGTCATTTAAAATTATTCTTTTTTCATCATTGTCGATAATTTTTCTCGCACCTTTTACTACACATATACGGGGACCGGCCCAATTATCACAATTTTTTATTTCCTTTAATAATTATTTCATTATGCTAGCATTATTTTCATTTTTCAAAATCACCAATTCGGCAATATTGGCTTTACTACAGATGTCAATCAAGTCTCTCAACATTTCGTCTTTCGCCAATGTCGATCGAGGATTTTGATTCACATACAGAGTATCATGCGAAGGTACGTAATATAAATCTCCCGACTGTAATGAAGTTTTGTTTTGAGAATTTCTACTATATTAGGTTGATCAGACCCTACATTCGTAGAATCCTCGTTACGATTTTGTCCGATACGTGAACATGTAAAAATTAAAAATTTTCACTGCTACTAACAAGTCCAAAATTATCGGAAAAACTTGGAACATCAGCATTTTTAACGTGACCCACATTTTCCTTTGTGGCATTAGCATTCTGTCTACTTGATCTAGGGTTTCAAATTGCTTCGCGACCGTCTCTGAATGAACTCGAAAATCGTTTTGTATCACGACGTTTGTCTAAATATTGATATAGTTTTTAAATCCGTTTCTAGTAGTGCATAATTTATAACAACAAATTACTGATTCCCTTTGATAATTTTATTGTTTCTATGGGTCTTCCCATCGTCATCGTAGGTAGCAATTTCGATTCCGCATGTAGGTCTAATGAAGCCATATCTAGGTGTATATTCTCGATCGCCCTGTACAGGATTTTGATTGAAAACGTCAAAAATTTCCTTCCGTCAATTTTTTTTCCTTTTTGGCGAATAAAAGGCGAGAGAAAAAATGGACGTGGACCCGGAAGGGTCGGAGGATGATGGGTCCTCCACCAGCAATCCAGACTCTACCAGAACTGCACCCAAAATTGGAAAACAAGATGAAAACTTAGCTATGTCAGATTACAGCGGCAACTCTACCATCGAGAGGCTGACGACTATCATTGAAAAGCAGGCCCACCAGATACGGCAGCATTCCCAGCAGATTGCAGACCAGGCGGATCTTCAAGAGCCTCAATCAACGTAGACCTGAAAATCAGGATCCAATTGACAACGACGCTCTTTCTGATGACAGCGTACGGTGCGACGGGTTTACGCCAGCCAGACAAAGAAAAAGATGAACAACGGCTAGACATGCGACAGAAGACTTCCATTCTTTACCAGCTCAATCTGCTCTGTCCAGTAACACATTTTTCACAAATTAATACTCATCCACTCATTGATACATCGCACACAACTACTTTACATCTACAGACCTATCCTACCGCTGCACCTTCTGGTTCTGCCAGCACAGCAGCTTCAACCAAGGCGCATCACTCCGGTCGTGCCGAGTGAGCCAGAAAAGTGGAGAATCGTCAATTATCAATTTATTCGTCTAGAGATTAAGATAGATCGCACGGTAGCGATTGACCCGGGGACTAGAATCGTCCCCAAAACCAAGGACGATTACAGAAAGATAATTCGGCATTTCAAAGAGCAAAATATTGCCCATCATACCTATCCTCTGCCATCGGAAAGAAACATACATGCTATCCTAAGCTGGACCAGAAAGGATATACCCCTCTCCATCTGATCAGATTAAAACGCAGTGCGGGCACTCCCATGTCACTGCGGTAGTGGTGATACTGCCTAAAATCGAAAAATCACATGAATTATTCAATGAAAAAGAACTATTAGGCCTCTCAATTAAGGTTGAGGTTCAAAAGAATGATAAACTGATTGGCCAGTGTCACCGCTGCCAGAGGTATGGGTACGCCCAATCTTACTGTACAGCGCCACCCAAATGTGTAAAATGTGCACAGAACCACTTAACACATTTGTGCCCCCAAACAAGACAGGAGGTACGCAAATGCGCAAACTGCGGGGACGAGCATCCTGCCAACAGTCCAATGTGCAGGTTATGCTAAAATGACAGCCAAGCCTTCAGCTCCTACCACTTCTGCCGCAGCTCCTGCTTTGAACTCTCAACAAGTAGACCTAGCGCCCGCGCTCATGTCACCCCAACAAAATATTACTCCTCTGATAAGCGCAACACAGGCGTTGCAAGCGATCTTTCCGCAGCCTATAGATGGCTAAGTATAATAGACAGCCTGCTGTTCTCAAAATTATGTTCTGGAACTGTTGTGGGTTGAGAGTCGTCGGTAAGAAACAAGAATTTCACCAGGCCCTTTTGGACGAGTCTATAGATGTGGTATTGCTGCAGGAAACCTTTTTAAAACCCGGAGATCGCTTCGTCTTCGCGAATTATGATGTTATTCGTGCTGACAGGTTGAATGAGAGACGTGGCGGCTTGGCCGTGCTTGTTAGGCATGGTATTGATTACTACAGAGGCACCAATGCTGAAATGCATTGAAGCTGCCTCTGTGGTGTTCAATATGAAGGGAGCCATCCCATTGAAAATCATAATGGTGTATGCGAGGCTTCAAGAAACGGACCAGGAAATCCTCTTGGATTGCTAGGATCCCTTGATTGTGGCAGGGGATTTCAACTGCAAGCACCGTGCCTGGCATTCCAGGCTCAACACTGCTAGCGGTGTTCGCCTGTATAACTATGTGATGCGAAATGGATGCGCCAGATGTTATAGACTTCGCGATATCCAGAAACTGCGGTTTCTGTGTTTCTTCTAGAATTATGTATGATATCTCAAGCGATCACCTTCCCGTTATTCTTGAGGTGGGCACTGAGAATACCTTGGACAGGGAAGCCTGCACTAGTAAACCCGTCGATTGGGAACTGTACAAATCGCTCTTGGCCGAGTTTCCTAATAACCCGATTATAGTTGACGAAAATGATATAGATGCCGCTCAAGCAGAGTGGGCCAGATCTGTCCAACAAAACTACATAAGGCAGCAGTATTGTGCAGCGGCCTGGCAGACCTTTCCTCCCTGTGGACATGCGTCAGAAAATTTCTGACAAAAGAGCTGCAATCAAGCATGCAAAAAGGTCTTGTCATCCTAATGACATTCGTATAGCTACGAATCTTGTTCACGAAGTATTTGTCCTCGTCCTCGTAAAAGTATAAGCGTTCCCCATTCTTCTTATAAATTTCGTACACTGCCAGAACAACGCAACAGTTTATTTTGAAATTTGTTCTGCTAAATGTTTTTTCGATAAGTGAGGTGATACTCTGAGGGTAAGCCAAAAACTCCATCAATAATATAGTTACAATTACTGCCATACGTCCAGCACATATACAACAAAACGTAAACACTACACTAAGTAAAACGTGAATTTGCGTTTAACCACAGACATCCGAGCGCTTTAACTAGACTTCCAAAAAATGAACAATGAAGAGTTTTTGGAAAGGCTGATGCAAATTACGGAAGAGAGCAGTAGAAGGGTAATCGAAGAAGCAAATGCAAAACAGTCTACTGAAATCAAAGAATACATATACATGGTGTCCCGAAAGAAGTGTGCAATATTCTACCAGCGGTTTCTAGAGCTTAAAATAGGAAGAAAAGTTTATATAAACATAGGTCGACAAACGTCCCCTAAGGGCGCTACGGTTTTTTAAAGGGGCTCCCCTGCAGATGGTTTTTCCTTAATATTTCCGAACGTGTTGAGATAAAGACATAAAATTTATTTATTTAATATATACCAATTATTAAATTAGTTTTTTCGTTGCCATGGCTAATTATTAAACTCATTTAAATTCGCAGTACATTTCCTATCATGTGACAAGTTTTTTAGTTTGATTTTATTCAAAAGTGGCACAATTTATCGACATTCGATAAGAGTACCTTTTTTATGTAGAAAACCCTAAATTTTTAAATTCTAAAATTGAATTTCAAAAATAGAATCACACAAAAATTTTGGGGCTAAAATAACCTGAGTCCGTCCCTGTTACATACTCTTCCAAACAAAACTGTCTAAAATTGTTAATATTTTTAAATCCAGCATAAAAAACTAGGCTAGAATACCAAATTTTATGTCTATCTCAACACGTTTCGGAAATATTAAGGACAAACCATGTTCAGGGGAGCCCCTTTAAAAGAAGGTAGCGCCCTTAGGGGACGTTTGTCGACCTATGTTCATATAAACTTTTCTTCCTATTTTAAGCTCTAGAAACCGCTGGTAGAATATTGCCCACTTTTCCTGAGACTGACTCACTTTCAGTACAACTAAATGATAAACTTAATCAGAAAATTTCTGAAATTGAAGAGATGTATAATGAACTGATAATTCAGTATGAAAAATTGCAAAAAGAGCTTAAAAATAACAACTTGGTAGACTTTGGTTTGAATGCTCCAAGTGATTGTAACTTGATTAGCTTTGTTATTGGCAAAATCAACAGCCTACTCGAGCTATCGTTGGTTCCCTGCGATATCAACGATGTTTATACCATAGGGAAGCAATCCAGTAACAAACCTATAATCCTGAAGCTTGTGTCATACATGAAGAAAAAAGAAATCCTTAGGAACTGCAAAAAATTAAAAGGTACAAACATCGCTATTGGTGTTGAACTCACTCTTGAAGAGCAAAAGGAACAAAAAAATTTGCAACTTAAGAGAGCAAGGAAACAAAATCAAAATGCATTTATAAAAAACAGAAAGCTAGTCGTGAATGGTACAGAATTTACAACCCCAGAAACTGATTGCTGGTGAAGAAAGTTCAGAGGAGGAAGAATAAATTGAAACAGGCCTTCAAGAAGGGTTCACTGTAGGTCAGAAAGCTGGTGCAATTGTTAATACACCACATGAAGTTGCCGAAGATCAAGCTAAAGGTAAGGAGGAACAGGATGTCTTCATAACAAAAATAGTTAAGAATACAAGCAAAAGGAAGATAACTCAAAGTACAGAGCCAGTCGCGAGGCAGTTAAGACCTAGGATCAACAGTAATCCTACATCGAGCAAAAATAAAGACTCCAAACAAAACTGAGAGCGTATGGATGAAATCGAATCGAGTGTTTTTGGTGTTATTTCCTTGTACGCCATATTACTTTTTAACTATTTTTAGTACATTATACCTGTATTATGTTATTTTGAGATTGTTCAACGTAATGTCTCTCATCTTTTGTCATCTAAACATCAGGTCCCTCACAGCCAAATACGCTTATTTTAAAGATGCATTTTTAAACAAGTATGATATCAAAACACTATCGGAAACCTGGTTAAATAACAACATTCCTGATGATATCATCAGTTTCGAAGGGTATATACACTGTATAGAGCTGATCGTCACCATAGAAGATGTGGAGGTATAGCTTTATATGCCAAAAATAACCTTAAAAGCAAAGTTATAAATAATATTGAGTATCATGATACCGAGCAACTATGGATCACCGTAAGCTTTAACCAGAAAATTTTTGCTGTATGATCTTTATACCGACCCCCACATTACCCCGTGAACCAATTTATAGATAATTTGGAAATAACGTTGTCCAAACTTGCTCCTAATCATGATTATATCTTATGGAAACCTAAACATCGACCTTTTGGATGACAATTTCTCTAGTAGACAGCTACTAAACCTGGTAGACGTCTTGAATTTGAAGCAGATAGTTGAACAACCCACTAGATGTACACCTAAGTCCTCAAAGTTGCTAGATGTTATTATCTGCACAGATGAATTAAACATCTCGGCTTCCGATGCATTAGACTGCTCTATGTTATCTGATCATGCCTTAGTTTCATGTGAGGTTACACTTTCAAAGAAGACTTTTGTACCTTTTCTTTACACATTTTAATTATGAGCTTTTTACTAATCACCTGAATAATGTTGACTCGAGTCCAATATATCTGCTTAAGGATATAGATATGAAAGTGAATTATCTGAATGAACTACTGTTAAATATTTTCGATTTCCATGCTCCTATCAGAACAGTCCGCATATCTAGAAAAAGGTACCTTGGCTTACCTATAATTTGAAACAAATGATGAAACTAAGAGATAAGACACTAAGAAAGTATCATCGTACATAGAATCACAATGATTGGTTAGGCTATAATACACTAAAGAACGAAATTAACCACGCGATTAATAAAGAAAAGCAAGTTTAATTTGAACAACAAGTTGCATTAAATAAAAACCGCTTGTGGAAAGAACTCAGAAAATTGAATATAGTTAAAAACAGAAACTACTACCTCAACACCTATTAACTGCAAACCAAATCAATAACTTCTTCATGCAATCCGTCTCGGGTGATAATAATGAACCTGATCAGTACAGTCCTCGATTCGTCACCGACACGCAACTCCCTCATGAAGCATTTGAGTTTTCGTACACGAATGACAATGAAGTATATCAAAAATTGCTCTCAGTGAAATCAACAGCCATTGGTGCCGATGGTATAAGTATCAGCATGCTGCTGTACAGCTGTCCTATAATTTTATCATATCTCACGCATATTTTAATTATTGTCTAAAATTCAATATAAAACCCAAAACTTGAAAGCTTGCACAAGTAATTCCCATACCAAAAAAGAGCAACCCTGAAGATGTGGGGGACCTTCGACCCATCAGCATCCTATGTACTCCATCAAAGGTCTTCGAAATGATTTTGGATGCTAGAATGAGGGACTTTGTTGCTAAAAATGACATCTTCCAGAAAATCAATCAGGGTTCAGATCAGGTCACAGCTGCACAACGGCCTTGCTCAAAGTAACAGATGATATCCGCAAATACTTTGTTGACGGCAACCTATGCATCTTAATCTTATTAGATTTTTCGAAAGTTTTTGACAAGCTAAACCATGATCTACTGATTGCTGTTCTTCACTACTTGGGTTTTTCTAAAAGTGCGGTTCATTTATTAAGAAATTACCTCAAAGATCGGGCACAAGTTGTCAAATGCTTTAGTGAAACATCCGAATTGTCTAACGTTTGTCGAGGTGTATCTCAAGGATCTCTTTTAGGTCCACTCTTGTACACTTTGTATACCTCTCAGCTGCACAAAAGTTTTAAACACGTCTCATATCACTATTACGCCGATGACACTCAACTATATATTGCTTTTAATGAATCAGATATAAACCGAACTTTAATTAACATAAATGAGGACCTTCAGGTTCTTCATCAGCTAACAAAAAAATATTGTCTCTCCGTCAACGCCACTAAATCTAAGGCTCTACTATTTGGTAAAAAAAAGAATCGTGAACTATACTCCAATAATTTAGACATTTATTTCGGACAAGACAAAATAACTTTTACAAATCCGCTAAAAATTTAGGGGTTCTTATGGCATTTTCATCTTTGAAATTGCTATACAATAGCAGAAGCATAATAACCAAGACAACCAAAATAATATTGTGCGAGTCTCTAGTTCTGTCTCGCCTCAGCTATGCAGGCTGCGCGTACGGCCTGTCATTTGCTACATCGAGATAAGGCGCAGCTTCAACGTATTCAAAATTCTTGTGTCAGGTTTGTTAGTGGTATTAGAAGGCGGCAGCCGACATCTCTTCTCTTAAAGAACTTAGGTTGGCTCAATATAGAGAAAAGAAGGTTAATTCATCGATCCGTACTATACCACAAGATTCTCAATAATAATACTGAATCACCATCATATCTTTACAAGAAGATCAAGACCCGTACAGAAGTGCATAGTCGTAACACGAGGTTTAAACATCATCTCTCACTACCTAAATTCAAAACTTCAAATTATAAGTGCTCTTTTTCATATGACATAGTTAAGGTTTACAACTCGCTGCCTATCAATTTTGAGATTTAAGCGAAAAGTGAAGACTATTTTGAGACTTGAGATGACTTAAATTTAACACTGCACGCTGATTTGCCAATTATGCTTCTGAATGTCTTTTCCGTTTGATCTTTGACATTTTACCTTCATTAGATATTAGCTACAACTTCTAGCAATCTCATTCAAGCATCAACTCGTTTTATATTATAGGTTTTACCAAGCTGCCTGCAACAGTTATTATGTCATCTATGGATGTATAATATAATATATAGTTTTAAAACATAATATGTCTATATGTATCTGTGTTGACGTTTAACTTTTCTCTTGCTGTTATTATTACTGATATACTACTTTTTTGGTTAGGTGGAAGAGCGCGGATTGACAACTAATGGTTGTCAATCAAGCGAACCTTGCCGTTTGCTCACTGCATCAGATTTATGTATTTTTTCTTTTTCTGTACTTACATGAGCAATAAAAGCAATTTATTATTATTACTATTAAGTTAAAAACGTACTTCACGAATTCCGAAACGAGCAATGGAACGATTTTCTTGGAGGAATGCTTGACAACGCTACTCCTCTTTGGAAAGTAGCGAAGTTGCATGGCAAACGGGAACAACTTCCGCATATCTAAGGCCCTGAAGGCGTAGTCTTCAGGACAGAGGATAAAGCGAGAGTTTTTGCTGATGTCATGGAAAAACAGTTCTCGCCAAATTACGATCTCGATAACGACCTCGACGAGGAACGAGACATTATAAGATCAGTTAGGAGGTATTTTGCTGCTTCGGAAGATTCTTCAACACAAGCTCTGCATAGCACACCGACAGAGTCATCACCAGTGATTCCGTATTGCACACCAGCAGAGCTTCAAGGTCATACAAAAGATTTGAAGGTGCGCAAGGTACCTGGAGAGGATCATATTACCAACAAGGCGCTTAAACTGCTGTCGTCAAAGGTAACAATAATCAACGCAATGCTTAGGCTCCAATACTTTCCAGATGCATGGAAGGTCGCTGATATCATCATGATCCCAAAGAAGGTAGGTTCAATATTTCCGCAGGATTATTGACCCATTAGCCTGCTGTCCGCTCCTTCTAAGCTCGCCGAAAAGGTGATTTATGGTCACCGTGAGAATTTTCAGGTCTCCAAGTAATTCCTGACGTTCAATTCGGTTATCGGTCCGAGCATAGTACGGAGCTACAGGCAATCAGGCTGGTGAAGCGTATAACCAGCGGATTCACCCACGTTAAGACCACAAGAATCCTTTTTCTGGATGTCGCGAAAGCGTTTGACAAGGTGTGGCACGCAGGTCTCCTCTATAAACTTATTCAAAACGGTTTCCCTTTTTGGCTATTAAAACTACTCAAATCATTCCTAGAAGGAAGGAAATTCAGAATCAAAATTAACCATGCATTTTCTACAACACGGCGCATTCGGGCCGGAGTTCCGCAGGGATCGGTCTTAGGACCACTCTTATACTCCCATTTTCATTCACGACGTCCCTCATCCCAGCGACTGTGAAGTCTACAATTATGCCGACGACACCGCATAGTAGCCCGGTCATGTTCTAGTGACATAGTCCATGACAGGCTGCAAGAAGCGGTGGACGAGGTTTTAGAGTGGGCGAATCGGTGGCTAATCAAAATTAATTTTTCAAAGACACAGGCTATATATTTTACAAAAAAGCGCCGTGGTGCCCCGTCAGAGATTACTGTGAATGATGTTTCGATACCATGGGCTAACAAAGCCAAATACTTTGGTCTTACACTCGACAAGGGTATGACTTGGCAGTCACACATTGAACAACTGAAAATTAAATTCCAAATTACATTTCGGCAATTGTATCCTCTTTTATGTAGAACATCAAAATTGAGTTTGGTCAATAAGATTCGGATATACAAAACCATCATCAGACCTGCAATAACCTACGTATGTGCGGCTTGGTTCTTTTTAGCTAAGTCACATATGCGTAAACTACAAGTTCTGCAGAGTAGAACTCTCAGAACAATAACTAATGCCCCATGGTATGTATCAAACGATACCATCCATAGAGATCTTGACATCCCCTACCTTAGGGATTACATCATAGGTATGGCAAGCGGAATCGCACAGCAGCCTTTTGTTGCGTGAAGCAGTGGATCACACAGTCGAGGAGATACGCAAACATTCCAGGCCGCGACTCGCACTGTGAACAAAATTAAATTCATGTTTAGACCTTTAAAATTATAGTTTTTGAAAACCAGAGACCCAAAATTCCGTTCAGGACCAGTCAAAAATTTATATAGTACAATGTAGCAGTACTTAGATCTATCACACCTCAAATATTTACATAAAACAATTCATTCTCTTCTCGCTCCTACTTCCTTTCTTTCTTTCCTCTCCCCTTTCCCCTACAACTTGTCTGGTAATGGGCCACCAGACCTGCCAGACTGACGACAGACACTGACATTACAGTGACTATGACCTAAGGGTGTTTCAAAACTTATCCGACAAATTTTAACCTCATATGCACTGTTACGAAAGATGTTGATTTCTCAAAAAAATGTAATAAAAGTCCGTCGCAAATCGAGATAATAAAATAATATGTAATATGCGCCACGCTGTTGCTTGTGACACTTCTGGGACCTGTTGAGCTAACTGCCTTGTGCTTATTCCCGGATTTTGTTCCACAATATCCAAAATTTCGGCATTTAAAACGCGTGTGGGCGAACCCAACCCCCATCCACTCCACGTCTGGGGCGCAAATCTCCACTAGCACGTGCACGTAAAATAATTGAACTAAATTAAATGTTTTGTGAAATTGGTGTGCATACAAAACGAGAAGCCGGTCGCGAACTTTGCCCTGCTTCTCCGTACGCTAGAACAATGTCCACTAACTCCTCATTAGTGTACACATGTGCTATTTTTATTAATATATAACTGAAAACACAAACTCGCTAAATACTTCCTTATTTCACTCCACAAAAATCGACCGTTCTTTATTCAGATCATCCTCGATACAGATTAAACCTTATTTACACGTTCTTATCAGAATGAAAAAACAAAAAATTCATGGTATCTTGTTTTCTTCGTCAGTTGTTTGGTACAACATTTGCTACAATAAATTGTTAATGAGTGTTCTAATATCACGACTATGAACACAAAATACAGATATTTATTTTTTAATTTATTATTGAAACTCAGGTTTATAACTTAATTTCTGTGAGGATTTTATTCCTTTTTTTTTAATTCATCTTTCGTAACAGTGCATATGTGGCTAAACTTTAATAAGTTGTGAAACACCCTATATATCAACTTTTCTACAAGAGAATTTTGAAAATTATACCATATAAATATTCAAGGATTTCTATCTAAAAAAGATGTGTTTTTACATAACTTGATGTCAGTGAAGCCGGTGATGCTCTGTTTAACTGTAACACATCTCACAGAGGATATTGACGACGAAGAAATTGGAATTGAAGGCTATCAAATTGTAAGAGCAAATACAATTTCCAGACATACAGGTGGTATATTATTATATATTTTATGTGAAATGGAAACTAGAGTACATGCAATTCTAGTTGTTGAGTACCAATCGGGTATTCAGTATCTAGATCATCGCTTTTAGGTCCTCCTTAATATTGGCATCACTGTCTTAGGCATTTATTAGAATTGTTTTGCAAGAGGATTCGCTTTTCAGCTTCCTATGTCTGCTACGGCCCAGTTTGCCGTCAAGTATTACACACTAGCGGCCG